GGGAGTGCAGGGAGGTGGGTGATTTATGGGGAGGTGTCGGAGGATGCTGCCAATCAACCGGGATGCGTCGACAAGGAGTGAGACTGTTGTAGGGAGCAGTTGGCAAGACTTGCGGCCTACGGGAGAGAGTAGGGAAGATCGACAGTGGACAGGTAAATGCTGGGGGGTGGACGACAACAGGGTAGAGTGGGTAGTGTGTGGAGGTCATCACCACCTCGGGCGAGGTACAGCCGGAGCACCGCTCGCTACTGAATACAACCCTAGGAAGGGGAACATCTTTGAGACACAATTGAAATGAGAGAGAAAACAAAAGCTGATTAGTTCTAACAAGCAACATCTATAAATAATGGGGAATCAAGAGATAGACTAGGCAAGTAGAAGAACAACAAGAAATAAAGGAGGGGAAAATAGAAAAGAAGAAATTTGAAATGAAGCCTATGTAGGAAGGGATAAATTTGGAAGGAAGGGATTATGTGCAGGAAAACAATGAAGGGAGAGGCAAAAGTTTTCACCTCTAAAAAAGTTTGGCCGGTCTAGCAGGGAGGCTGGACCGACTTTCTGCTCAACCAAACGATTTGCGTGGAGCTGTCGGAGGATGCTGTCGATCAACTGGGATCAGAGAAGATTGGCAGTGGGAGGGCAGGTGTTGGGGGGTGGACGGCATTAGGGTAGAGTGGGGAGTGGGTGGAGGTCATCACCGCCTTGGGCGAAGTATAGCTGGAGCACCGGTCGCCTTTGGATACAACTCTTGGAAGAGGAACACCTTAGAGACACAACTGAAATGAGAGAGAAAACAATAACTGATTAGTTCTCAACATGCAACATCTATAAATAAAGGAGAATCAGGAGATGGACTAGGCAAGTAGAAGAAAAGAAATAAATGAGGGAAAAATGGAACAGGAAGGAATTTAAAATGAAGCCTATGTAGGAAGGGATAGAATAGGAAGGAAGGGATTGCATGCAGGAAAACAAGGAAGGGGGGCGGGTGTGGAAGTTTTCACCCCAAAAGATGCCTGGCCCGACCAGGTCCAACAAGGAGGCTGGGCCTGCCTTTTGCCCAACTGGCCAAGGCCTAAGAATCATGCGTTAGTCTCACGGGGTTGGGAGAGCTTCAACCTTATTCATCGAAGCTTTTGAATCCTTGAAGTAATTGAGGTTCGCGACATTGAAGGTAGTTGGAATTTTGTAGTCTCTTGGCAAGTCAATCTTGTAGGCTGTCATTCAACTTCTTAAGTATTCTTAAAGGTCCATCTGTTATGAGCTTTAGTTTCTTGAACACTCCCATGGGAAATCTCTCCGTTAGTCGAATCCACATGAGGTTTCCTTGTTGAAATGCTATCTTCTTCCTGGACTTATTTGCCTGTGTCTGATATTTTTTGTTCTATTTCATAATCGTTTTCCCTACCTTCTCGTGGAGTTTCTGAATTTGGTGAACATATTCAACATCCGCATGGATCTCTGATTTTGACAGAAGTGGTATCAATTTGAGGGGCGTGAGTAGGTTGTGCCCGTACACAATCTCGAACAGAGTGTGCCTCGTAGTCTGACTTGTGGGTCGGTTGTAGGCAAACTCGGCTTGAGCTAGAATTAAATCCCACAGTTTAATTCTCTTTCCCACAAAGTGTCTAGGAGGCCCTGACAAGGAGTACAGCTGCTGCAGGGAGCGGTTGGCGGGACCTGCTGCCTATGAGAGGGAGTAGGGAAGATCGACATTGGGCGGGTATCTGCTGTGGGGTGGACGGCAACAGGGTAGAGTGGGGAGTGCACGGAGGTAGTCACCATCTTAGGCAAAGTACAACTGGAGCACCACTCGCTGTTGGATATAGCTCTCGGAAGGGAAGCGCCTTAGAGGCACAACTGAAATCAGAGATAAAACAAAAATTGATCAGCCCTCAGCAAACAACACCTATAAATAAGAGGGAATTAGACGATAGATCAGACAAGTAGAAGACTAGGCAAAAATAAAGGAGGGGGGATTGAAAAGTGAAGAAATTTGAAATGAAGCTTGTGGAGGAGGGGATGGGTTATGAAGGAAGGAAAATTGTGCATTAATATAGGGAAGGGAGGGGTGGAAGTTTCCGTCACTAAAGAAGCCTGACCAGTCCAGTCCAAGAGGTTGTCTGGACCGACCTTCTGCCCAACCGGCCAGGGCCCTAGAGCCCGACATCACCGGTGCTCCAAATAATTTGTTTCTACTTTGCATTCTATGCGCTCGGGTAGAATCATCACATATGATGGGACTCCTTTTTGCTTTTTGTTTGTCATCGTATTGTCTGATTTTCTATAAATCCTTTCTCCATCTATGAATGGGTTGTGCATTTTTCACGTTCAGCACTTGAACTATTAGCTAATTTCAATGATTTCAATGTTGTCGGTATGGTGGCGAGGGTGGAGAAGGATGGTGCACAAGTTGTAGTGTGTGTGGCGTTTACTTCTGCTATATTCTGTGTTGGTTGCAGGAGAGTGAAAAACTTAGTTTGGTTGTGTCGGCACTAAAAAGTTTTTTTGTGGAGGTTTTGTAGACTTTGTAGTATTGGATATGGAGGAAGATAAAGAGATTCCTATTATTTTAGAGATTCCTAGAATGATCTGGATAATGAGATTCCTAGAATGATTATGAGATTCCTAGAATGATTATGTATCAGGGATAAAGAGATTCCTAGGAAATAATTGAGGGGCATCCCATTTCTTCTAGGAATCATTCTATAATATGTAACATTTAGAACAAATTTCACTTTTGATAAATTTTAGAATAATTTTTCCTTCATTTTTATTTGCCGACAAGTTCCCCTATTTAATATGAAAAATTAAATAGGGTTTATGTTAAGTTGGGTTCGGAAAAGCTTTTTATAAGGGTAAGCCCCCATAGTTATTACATCTTAAATGACCTAGGTCACATAAGAAAACTCTCGATAAAAACCAGGGAATTTTAAATGACCGAAGTCACCTAAGAAAACTCTCGATAAAAATCAGGGAATAATGTCTTCAAAGAGGTTAAAAGGATAGGACTTTACAACGAAATCGGACAAAGAGGGGTGAAGGGGGAAAAACTCAAATCTGGAACATTGTTAAGGAATCCAAATGAAGAGAAACTAGGGGAAGCCAAAGATCTTGAGGCGAACCTCAGTAGGTTCCCAGTCTATTCTATGGTTTGACTTCAACTTTCCTGCCATTTTTATTTAATTAGGGCTTATATTTGCATGACAAGACAACAGATCGCCTAGAAGATATGAGAGTTTACGTCGTATCGGACGGCAATCTCGGAACCTAGAACGAGTTTAGGGCTTAAATCGTAAGGGAAAGCTATACAAATGCCTAAAGAAAAAGTGGAGGATTTATGCACGCTAGGCGAAGAGCTATACGAATGCCTAAAGAAAAGGTGGAGGGTTTATGTTGCGCTAGGCAAACAACCTCGAAACCCTATGGATTGTTGTTTAATTTCTGGGAAAATGCTGTTGAAGATGGCCGTGCTGCCCACTGCGTTAGCGCCAAGCTCCCTGATATGACGATTTTAAGTTTTCCAGGGCGTCCAGTTATAGTGTTAAATCAAACGGCCCTATGGTTGTAGTTTTCTAAACATCCTATGCAAAAATGAAACATTCTTGAAGTTATAATATAAAGTGTGCGATGCAGGAACAAACAAGTGTGCGATGCAGGAACAAACAATAGAATGCACTTGGAACAAACAATAGAATGCACTTGGAACAGTAGTAGGCAAAACAGGAGCAATATAACATGCTATACGAGAAGAAACAGTAAAACAGTAACAAGTGGAAACGTGAATAATATAACATGCTGTACGGTACGGTAGTAGGGAGAAACAGAAATTGTATAACATGCTGTATAAGAAGAGCAGTAGTGGTGTAACATGTTTTACAGTACAGTAGCAGGTAGAAAACATGACAAGTGTAACATGTTTTACAGGAAGAGCAGTAGCGGGTAGAAGACAGGAAACAAAGTCCGAAAGAAACGTCGTCCAGGAAATTCGAGGAAAAGTTGAAAAACTCGAGGAAAATCAACGAAAAAGAACTCAAGCTAAAGAAAATCCTCGAAACTCCTGGGGAAATCCCGAAAGAAAGAAAAAGTAACACGAGTGCTCTGTCCCAAAGCTTCGATAAAACAAAGAAACAAAATTCGGATGGGGGTACCGCAAACACTCGTATGGGGCTAGGCTCAGCTATATTTATTCTCGAGGGTCCACGAAGGCTATTCGGTCACCCGAACGTATAGAGCCCTTCACTCGTCTAGAAGGGTGTCTTGAACCTCACTTAGGGGTCAGGCATAGGATCGCCGACCCACTGAGGAGGTTCGAGCCAACTCCCGCTAGACTTATGTCGGTAAAGGATATCATATCCTATTATTCATCAAATGCCTGGATCTTGACGTTATAGGATATGACATCTTTTTGCTCTATCTTCGGTGTGCCTTTATCATCAACACCGTACGCCCCAAAACGACTACTTGCGACCTTGCTTGATGGTTTCACGTATAGCAAAAGGCTATACGTGGACACTTATGCATCGGACCTAAGCATCGAAAACCGAATCAAGAAACAAGGAAATAAAAGAACAAAAATGGGGTGAGAGAGAGGAGACACTGATCCATCTAAAACAATGAAAAGGAGACTGAATCAATTTTCAAAACTCGTATTGAAAAGACCTAAAAAAGTAGGGTCCAAGGTCTTTCCTAATAAACATAAAATATTACTTAGCGCTGATTCTCCAAACCCCGAGAACGCAGGATTAATCAAATCAACAAAATGTTTTTTCAAAATGAGATTCAAAATTTCTCAAACTTCGAAAGAAAATGATCGCAGGGAAATCGCCGTTAATATCTCTAAACCCATACTAAAAAATCAAGATTCCTCCAACTTTCAGATTAATAGATAGCCTCATACATTAAATAAGCACGAAGTCTTCCCATAAAATCAGATAGATGCTCACGATCGGGGTCAGCAGAGCAGAGAAAACAACCAACAAGGCTCTCGGCCAAAGCCAGGGATGGGGACAGGAGGGCTCACGGCCAGGGCCAGCAAAGCAGAGGAAACAACCAACAAGGCCCATAACCAAAGACAGCCTAAAAGACAACAGGTAAAGCTGACAATTAAGGCATCAAAGGGGCCCGAAAAGAACTAATAAAGCTCACGGTTTAAGGCAGCAAAGAACAACTGCAAAAGCCCACGACCCAAGGCCATTCAAAGCACAAAGGGGCTCACGGCTAAAGACAACAAAAAGACCACCAAAGGCAACGAATTGCAAAATTTGTGCGCGCGGGAGTGCGAATTGTGCAGAAGACCACCCTAAGGCTCAGAAAGGTCCTACAGGAATCCCTTTTGGGTTTCCTCATGTCGGTATGTCGGTTTCATCCTTCTAAGTGCTAGAAGTCGATACCACACACGCGAAGCTCCAAAAGGGGACGGAAGTAGGTCGAACTCCTAAAACGAGGCGGGTCACATTTCTAAGACTCTAAGATAGTCGCCGGGAGACCCCTAAGGCTAGATCCTAAATCCTAAGAGAAAGACTATACCTCACTAAAAATGAGGTCAACATCCTCCATGTGACAAGATCTTCCCATACATAGAAATAATACCCATTTTTGGATCTTTTGTTGTAATTTCTCTTGTCCAACTAGCATCAGTGTAAACTTCTATCTCCCCATTGTCTGATTTTTTAAAGAATAATTCTCTGTCAGTGGTCTTCTTAAGAAACCTCAATATTCTGTAAATTATCTCAAAATATTTTTCATTTGAACTATTCATATGCTAACTCACAATGCTGGCAGAATAAGCGATATTAGGTTTAGTATGTGATTGGTAGATAAACTTTCTCATTAATCTTGGGTATCAACTTTTTGACACTAGTGTCGTTTCTCTCCTTGAATATAACTTTTTATTGAAATTCATAGGTGTCTCAGTAGGTATACACCTCATCATTCTTCTCTCTTTTAGTAAGTCTAAGATATTCTTTTTTTGGGATATAACAATTCTACTCTCGGACCTGAACACTTCCATGCCCAAAAAATATCTCATAGCTCTTGGATCTTTGATTTCAAATTCAATGGCACTAACCTCAATAGTCCCCCCCTCCCAATTTCTTTTTTTTCATCACCTGTTAGGATTATATCAACTACAAAGACAATGAGTATAGCTTTTTTATCTTCACGTATATGCTTTATGACTGTGTATGATTAGCTTGGCATTGGATGTGCCCATTAGATTTTATAGACTTAGCATACTTGTCAAACAAAGCCCGCAGAGATTGTTTGAGGCTATACAATTTCTTAGTTTACAAACCATATGTTTGTTTGAGTCATTTTTCAGATCTAGTAAGCTCTCCATATACGCTTCTTATTCAAGGTCCATTCAAAAAGACATTCATGTTATCATGTGATGCAGTTCCCACTCTTTGTTCACTGGCAAAATAAGAACTCTTACGTTGTTTAGCTTGACCACCGATGCAATGATCTCTTGATAGTCTATCCCATAAGAGTGAGTGAACCCTTTAACTCCTAACCTAGGCTTGAACCTCTCAATGCTCCCATCTTTTTTGTGCTTGACATTGAACGCCCATTTGCACCGAACGACTATTTTATCTCCATGTGCTATTTAGATCAAGTGCTTGGATCTCCTTTTCAACTACCTTTTTCCATTTTGCACTTTGAAGTGCTTCATGAATAGACTTGGGTATTTGCACACTATCAATATTAGATACAAAAGCTTTATAAAGTGATAATAACTTCCCATAGGCAAGATATTCTTTGATATAAAATAATTTGTGCAACTTTTCCTGTCTTCTCCACTAAATTCCACCTCCCTTGGAACTTCAAAGATGTGTGGATTCAGATTTGGTTGTGAACGGTCCAGTGGTTACATAATCCTTTTCTTGCTCAATGGATTTCTTTCTCGTAGTGTACACATGAATTTCCTTGTTGTCAGTCTCAGGTTATATATTCTCAAGTGGTGGAACTTGGGAGACAAAATAATTAGAGAGAAGTAGAATATATTGTGTTGACTCTAGTTCAATATGTGAATCTAGAGTACTGTTCCAAATTTGATATTTACCGAGACTCTCCTTGAATTTCAAATTTAGGTTAGTGGGATTGCTTTCGAGAGAAGGTAACATCTATAAAGTTATAGTATTTTTAGTAATGGGAGAATATCACTTGTATCCCTTTTTATTAGGAGCATAACCAAGGAAAATATATTTCATGGATTTTGGGTCAATCTTTGTGCGGTTTGGTTGGACATTCAAATATTTTTAGAGGAAGATTGGATGAGACTACTCTAATATGAGGGTATGTTTTCATCAAAACATAGAGAGGGGCTTTGATATATTTGATGGGATTTGGGAGAATATCACTGTACTGCTTTTTATTAGAAGCATAACCGAGCAAGATATATTTGATGGATTTTGGGACAATCTTTGTGCTATTTGGTTGGTGAATATGAATAAAAGAGATATTCAAATATTTTAAGAGGCAGATTGGATGAGAAGGCTCTAATATGAGGGCATGTTTTTATCAAAACATTGAGAGAGGCTTTGAATCCAAAATCCTGCTTGACATTCTATTAATGAATTTTTGGACATTGTGAGAAAGTATTACAGACCTAGATACATTGAGGAGATGTTTATTCTTCATCTCAACTATCTTATTTTGTTGTGGAGTTTCATTACATGAATTCACATGGATTATATCATTCTTTGCAAGGTAGGGTCCAAGGATCGAGTTGAAGCATTCCTTTGTGCATATCAGTTTTGACAATCTGCATTTTGCATTTAAATTAAGTGTAAATCATGTCATGGAAGGATTGAAAGATTTGTGTGGTTTTAGATTTCTCCTTCACGAGGAATATCCAATTGGTTTTAGTGTGATCATCGATGAAAGAGAAACCATCTGACTTCATTGATAGTTTTCAATTTTGATGGTTCTGAAATGTCACTGTGGATGATAGAAAAAGGATGTGAGAGTTTGTACTGATACACGATATACATGACAAGTATGTTTAGTCAATTGACATGTTTGACACTGATAAAATTCTAGCTTTTTTTTAATAAATACATTTGAGTACATCTTTGTAATATAATGAAAATTGGGATGACCCATACAACATGCCATAATAAAACTTGACTTTCGACAGAGTCAAACACAACAAACTTAGGAAATTGCAAAGATGATATTGGAGGAGATACTTGTATGTTAAGAGAATAGCTCTTCTTGAGCAAGTATAGACCTTGATGCTATTCAACCTGCCAATCATCTTCTTTGAATCCACCACATGAAATTCACAAGAGTTAGAATTGAATTTCGTAACATAATTACAGTCACGAGTAAGCTTGTTAATTGAAAGTAAGTTGCAATCTAGTTGGGGAACATATAACTCAAAAGAAAGTTGAGACTTTCTATTCTCATTTCCTAACAATTTTGGAGTGCGATGTATCGACATTTCTAATAAATTTGGAGGTGGTGATCTCTTGATAGTTGATGAGAGCATAAATCTTTCTATTCATATTTACAGAAGCACCTAAATCTATTACCTAATGTCACTATCTTTTATTGTTAGCAAGATAGGAGGTGGATATGATACCTTGGTGTATCATCAAGCTAGTAGGTTGCTCAATCATGCTACTAAGAAGCTTCTTCACCATCTCCAACTAGTCCTTAGTAAAGGGACTAGGGTCGTCAAACCTTTCAGAAGAGGTAGCAACATGGGGCTTGCTATCTTGATCCATTCTCTCTGGTACAGGTTTTCAATCTACATGTTTGCCATGTAGTTTCTAACACTTGTTCTTTGTGTGACCAAGTTTTTTACAATGTTCACACAAGGTGTTTGGCTACATGTTAGATTTACGTTAACTAGGATTTATCAAATTCGATAAATGCGGATTTATCAAATCGAGTCGGTGATGGGAAGAGATCGTGAGCGACGACTGAATATAACCGGCTTGCAGTTTGATTTATGTAATTCCGATATACATCTCATAAGTTACGGAATGCGAGAAGAATTAGATGGAACATGGGAAAATTGGATTTAATGGAGCATTCAATTTAAATTTTTTTTACTTTTTGGTTGGATTTAGCTAAATCCATGGTTAAATCATATAAATAATACGCTACCAAACACCTCCAAGAGACAATTCTTCTTTGGCTTTGAATTATGGGAGTTGTGTCTACAAATCCGAGCTGTCACCCACACTTTTTGCCATCATTAGTTTCTTTCTGCCATCATTAGCTTTCTTTGCTTTCTTCTCTTTTTACTTCAGCAATGGCTTCCCTAGTGGTGGGGAGAGGCGTCATCCCCATGATTCTCTTTTTGACCTCATGTAAGGTCCTATTTAAACCCAACAAGAACTTGATCGTCCTCTTCTTCTCCACTATTGTTTTATACATCGTAGCATCTTGCAGGTACTTCTATACATGTGTATCATGCATATCTAACCATAACCAACATCTTGATAGTGTGTTGAAGTATTGAGCACACTCGACATTTATTGTCAGAGCTTATGTAGTTTTGTCGTAGTGTCTTCAGTACTATAATAAGTCTCACAAGCTGCTTTTCAAATCTTTTGTGCTATCCTGTAAAGCAATAAATTTTATCCAATTTCTGTGGTTATAGAATTGATCAACCAAGACATGCCTATATGATTCTGGATCTTTTTTGAGCGATAGGTAGGATCAATGAGCTCAGGAACTGTGCACTCTCCCATGAGATGTTCTTATTTTCATTTTCCAGAAATGCATATAACCACGAATTTGGACTATTGAAAGAAGTTATGGCCAATGAGTTTATGGTTTGTGATAAAGGAAGAGAGTTCAAGAGTTGTTTGAACAAAATTTCTGGTCTCTGATTCAAAACTAACCTCCAAAATAGAACTAGGCTGGCTAGAGGGATTCTGACTGTTGTAGGGAGGCTTCTGGTTGTTGGATAGCTATTGGAGAGGCTTTGACGGCTGTAGGAGCTAGTAGAGGAGGGCCTGCAGGAGACAAGGTTGACGAATGATGCTGTCAAAGGCACCCAAGTTGACAACAAATGAGGCTGACAAGATTTTCTTTAGCAGAAGGGGTTGACAAAATCATCAGCTTTGTCCTAAGTAGATGAGAAGGACAAAACATGCAGATTCGAAGCTCAACGATGCAGTTGAGGCCGACGAGCGATCCAGTAAAATTTGGAAGGAATTGAAACGAGGATCAACGGGCTTGGGTTGAGATCCGATGAAACAAACCATTGATGTTTTAAAGGAGTGGTGGACTGAAAGACTTGCGGTGAGCAATATATCATTTCATATAATTTTATTTCTTTTATTTTTAGTACAGAAGTGTTTAATATGATTTTGTAGGTGGTGCTGGCAGCAAAGAAGTACAAATTTTGTGGCATTGAACCCGAGTTTGAGGAGAAGCTGGACCGGATGTTTGAGGGTGTCTTCGCAACAGACAAATATGCATGCGCTCCAAGTGAGACAAGGTTTTGTGGTATCCCTAAGATCCACCGAGATTTCTTCGCAACGATTGCCAAAGAAAAACAGGTGGCATATCTACTACATTTTTATGCGCGCAGAGAAAACTTAGAAAACTGTTTTCTTATTTGCTATTGAGTTGGGGATTGTTTTATTTCATATGTTGTTGTTTGGAACAATTTTACTTCGTTATTATTTTTTATAGTGATATCTGCGACATTTTTATGCGCGCTTTTCTTATTTTCTATTGAGTGGGGGATTTTTTTATTTCATATGTTGTTGTTTGAAACAATTTTACTTCGTTATTATATTTTATAGTGATATGCTTATTTGAAAATCTTAAGCCGTCATTTTAATCTCTTATAAATGCTTGAGTCATGTTTTCTTCGTGATTTATTAATTCCATTTATTTTTAATTAACACTAGTACAATATACATCATCATGAATTCAAAACAAGAAAGACAGAGACGGAGAAATGCGGCGATCGCCTTGATCGTTGAGTACTACAACACGTACATTGGCCGCTCTCCATGCTTCACATTGTCTTATTTTGGTGACAAATGGGTTGGGGAAATGCTTGCTGGACATTCAATCTGATTCAACAACATGTTCCGCATGAGACAGTAAGTATTTACAAATATTCTAGCAGAACTTAGTGGATTTCATGGTCTTCATGGGTCATTTAGGACGACTCAACGTGATGTGTTGGCGATAACTCTCTACATATTATCACAAAACGAGTCAATGCGTGGTTCGATGTAACGATTCCAACACTCATCTAAGACGATTAGTAGATACTTTTCTGTGGGTTTCAGTGCACTTGTGAGCCTATCTAAAGAAGTCATAAAATCAACTGAGCCAATGTTCGCACGAACTCCTACAGAGATTTAACGTGATGCACGTTACATGCCCTTTTTTAAGGTAACATTTGCAATTTATAATATTCAATTTTAAATATGAATACTGGACATTAATAACTCAAATGCATCTGTGTAGGGTTGCATTGGAGCAATAGATGGAACCCACGTCGATGCAAGAGTTACAAATGATGAAAATATTGCATTTATCGGGTGTTTTGGACCCCTACACAAAATGTCATGGCTGTGTGTGACTAACATGTGTTTTACGTTCGTCATGCCCGGTTGGGATGATAGTGCACACGACAACAAAATGTTGAAAGTGCTATGCAAAATGCTTAGTGCAACTTCCCACACCCTTCACACGGTATGCTGCATCATCGAGTCCATTGGTTTATCACTTTAAACATCATACTGAACATACAATGCATTCCAGACAAATATTATTTAGTGGATGTCGGTTATCCATTGCAGCAAGGGTATCTCAAACCCTTCCCAGATACTAGATATCATATATATAATTTCGAGCGAGCCAACAATGTGACACATGACAGAAAAAAAGTTTTTAACAAAATACATTCCTCCTTACGTGGTGTCATCGAGAGAACTTTTGGTGTTTGGAAGAAGAAATGAGTGATTCTTCGCGCTATGCCACCTTACCCGTTTCCCAAACAAGTCCAAATTGTGATATATTATCACAAAACGAGTCAATGCGTGGTTCGATGGAACGATTCTAACACTCATCTAAGACGATTAGTAGATACTTCTCTGTGGGTTTCAGTAGATACTTTTCTGTGGGTTTCAGTGCACTTGTGAGCCTATCTAAAGAAGTCATAAAATCAACTGAGCCAATGTTCGCACGAACTCCTACAGAGATTTAACGTGATGCACGTTACATGCCCTTTTTTAAGGTAACATTTGCAATTTATAATATTCAATTTTAAATATGAATACTGGACATTAATAACTCAAATGCATCTGTGTAGGGTTGCATTGGAGCAATAGATGGAACCCACGTCGATGCAAGAGTTACAAATGATGAAAATATTGCATTTATCGGGTGTTTTGGACCCCTACACAAAATGTCATGGCTGTGTGTGACTAACATGTGTTTTACGTTCGTCATGCCCGGTTGGGATGATAGTGCACACGACAACAAAATGTTGAAAGTGCTATGCAAAATGCTTAGTGCAACTTCCCACACCCTTCACACGGTATGCTGCATCATCGAGTCCATTGGTTTATCACTTTAAACATCATACTGAACATACAATGCATTCCAGACAAATATTATTTAGTGGATGTCGGTTATCCATTGCAGCAAGGGTATCTCAAACCCTTCCCAGATACTAGATATCATATATATAATTTCGAGCGAGCCAACAATGTGACACGTGACAGAAAAAAAGTTTTTAACAAAATTCCTCCTTACGTGGTGTCATCGAGAGAACTTTTGGTGTTTTGAAGAAGAAATGAGTGATTCTTCGCGATATGCCACCTTACCCGTTTCCCAAACAAGTCCAGATTGTGAATGCAATGATGACGTTACACAATTATATTCGGCGGCGTCCCTCCCGCACCGATATTGACTTTTATATTGCTAACAACGACGAGGAGCATGTCCCTCCAGAGGCATTTGAGTACCACATTGGGCATTCCGTGGAACGATCTGGGAGTAGTCCTTCCACTATCTGTACTAGAGAAGGGGACAGTTCAAAAGAAATGGTGGAGTTAAGTAAAGAAATTACAACCGCGTTAGTAGAAGGCAATTTTGGGCATTTGTAATTTATTTAGTACAATGTGCAATTCATTTCATTTATTTTGGTTGTTGAACATTTTCCGTACTTTTATTTCATATACGAGAAAAACTCGTTTAATATGGTTGATGAACATTTGTTTTTTTTGTGAAACTTGATGGGAGTTGCTTTGTAAGGTTTAAATACTAAAATATATATTTTGATTGTTTGGTATGCTTAACAACTCAGAGTTCTAATTTGTATGAGAAGCAAATTTTTTTTGTGTAGAGAGGAGGAGGAACTTTGAGATTGTGTAGAACTTTGGGATTCATATTTTTTTACATATCTCACACTTAATGTTTAATACTTAAGATCACCTTGGAGCTATAAATTTGTGTAGGAAAAGGTATAAATTTAAAAAAAGTTTAGGTGTTGTATATGTAAATCTATAGGAACTAGGTGGTATGTACCCAATCACTATTGTTGGCTTTATTATATTTTTAGCCATTCTGTTTACGATTTCACTTTTTCTATTTTTTCTGTTAGTATAAGCCGTGTATATTTGTGGCAGGCATGTAAATTTTCATTTTTCTGTTAGTATAAGCCGTGCATATTTGTAAGTCCTATTTAAGTTTTGTTCTAATAAAATGGAGAACCTAAATAAAAATATACTTGTAAGACCTATTTGAAATAATTAAATTGATTAGTTCATTAATAATATGTTAGATCCTAAATGAAAAAAATATTTTTAATACAATCGTGCCACCGAATATAAGAGCATTAATATAAGAAGTCTTTTATTTCATATGCTCAACTATCGAACAAGTTAACTTTTTAAAATATATTAATCAATCCCATAAATTAATATATTAATCAATCCTAATCAATCCCATAAATTTATTAAATGACAATTAATAACTAATTACCCAATAATTAAATTTATTACATAATTAACACTTTGAAGTTTCACTAATTTATTACATAATAAATTTCGCTTTTGGAGTTTCAAAAATTTCGCTGTTACAGTCATCTTTTAAACAGTTTTCTCAAACAAGGCAGAATTATCATTTTTACAGAAACAGCTGCTCTGCAGTTGTTTTCACACAGCTGCACCAAACAGACAGCCAGTTTCCCCGCAGCAGTTTCCCCATGCAGCTACGCCAAACAAAGCCATAGATAGACCTAGGATGTTCTAATCCTATCAAAACCGAGCTTGAAGCTTTGATACCATGAAGCAATGTGGATAAACTATATTCTCTTATTCAAATATTTTCAAATTTCAACCTTTCCTTTTATTATATGGGAGATGAATATGGCAAACATTATTACGACTATTACAACTTACCAAATACAAAACAAATAATGAATAATAGACATACAAAATAATAAGAAGGAAATAAAAAAAGATTAAAGCTGAAATAGGAAACTCTCTCCAATAGCTTCCAAAAATTAAACTCGTGGGGCCCATATGGCAGGCAATCTGGGCCACCTCACAATGACAAAAGTCCACAATTATAAATGTGGGTCTGCTGACTTGAATCTTGACTGAATAGAATTATGTCTCTTTGTATAGCATGTAGTACTACGCTAGGCAAAATAGAAGATTTAACTTTTTTTCTTTACTGATCGATTATTTAATTCCTGGGCAAATGGATCTGAGTTGAAACATCAGAATTTCTTTAGGTGAGCTGAAGGAATGCCATTCGTCTGCTGTGGCTGTGGAATCAAATGGCAATGTCACATTTGTGAACACTGAGAAGCAGACACTTGATCATATACGGCAACTGGATGAAACAGCAGCTGGCATTATTTGTCATGTAAAAGATCAGCATGGTTCAGCGGCATCTACTCTTCAGTGCACCAAGGATATAATAGGAATTGTTGCTTCACTTGGAAAAGTAAAGGACGAAGAACTTAGCAGGTTAGTTTTTTTTTCCTTTTTTTGTCATTGTACATGATTTTTTGATTATCACGCTTGTTTCTTTTCTGCAACTATGACTTAGTGATGTTATTCAATTATTATCTGTAAATGTACCTTGTTATTTATCTGATTAAAATCCATTGGCTTTTTAGAATTTATTTGTATAGTTGGAAGCAATTTCGGGCTTTTTCTGAAGTACTTTTATAACTAATCTCCCGATAACAATCTTTTAAAATTTAAAGCTCATCAGCCCTCGTCACCTGCTACTCAATAAGTATGCCTTATGAAAGTGACCTGGTCAATTTTCATGTATTTCTCATTTGTTGTTATTAAATTTGTAATCAGAACGTTGTCTGAGTACTTGGGTTTGGACAACATGTTAGCTATTGTTTGCAAGACACTAGAAGGTGTTCAAGCTCTTGAACAATATGAGAAAGATGGCTCCATTGACAGGAATACTGGTCTTCATGGAGTTGCACCAACAATTGGAAGGACAATGAAAGGCAGATTTCATGTTTTTTGCCTTCAAAACATGAGGTAAGTTTCATGTTCTCATTTTTCCTTCTGTTTAATACAGATATTGTGTCTTTGTCACATATGGATGCTTTCACACATTGCCAAATGTTCTGTTAATAAATCTCATCCTTATTTTTTCAGACCATTTGTTGGTGAATTTATTTCCGATGATCCACAGAAGAAGCTTGCATTATTGAATCCAAGGCTACCTAATGGGAAGCTCCCACCTGGATTTTTAGGTTTTGCTGTGAACATGATCAGCGTGGATGACATGCACTTATCTTGTGTCACTTTTGATGGTTATGGACTAAGGGAAACATTGTTTTTTAATTTATTTTCTCGCCTACAAGTATACAAAAGCAGGTCTGAAATGCTATGTGCTCAGCCTTTCATAACCGATGGTGCAGTTTCCTTGGATGGAGGGATGATCAAAGGTTGTGGTTTGTTTTGTCTTGGAGACAGGTTAGCTTCATGATTGTTGAATGCACAAATGGCTTTTTAATTCCGTGCAAGGGATTATGTTTATGTGTAGTTTCAGTATTTTAAAGTTTATTAGAATGTTAGGTTGTTTTACTTTATTGATCTTTATTTTGTAAAGATATTTCCGTAAATAGGATATTTGGGGTTTGTAATTGAATGCAATTGAATGATGAATGAAAAGATATAATTCTCTTCCTGTTTTTCTCTCTTTCTTTTTTGGTCCCTCTCTCCTAATAATGATTTCTCCCTTCTCACTACCCTCAGCTACATCATTTGAGCAACAAAATTGAATGATCCCATTGGTCTATTCTATCAGTTAATTTGATTCCAACTCGTTGAAACCCATTTTGGCACCCTTCACCAACATCTATCAATTGGATCCCTCAATTTTATCATCACTTGCTCTTGTTCTCGGTTAATCCCCCTATTTCTTGCTGTTGCTCCAAAATGAGACTGCATTTACTCCTGAGATTATCGCCCGATGTCTCACATGCACATCTGCTTTTAATGATTTTCTCTTATTGAACCCTGCTTGATCTCCCCACCCGGTTTGATTGTGTTCTTTCTTCTCGTACGAGCTTTATGCATCCTTGCTTTGCATCCATTAGCCTTTGATTCCTCTATTGCAATCCACACGTGCATGAACATCATCATTCTGCTCATGCATTAGATTGCGTATTGTCACATGCCTTGACTCACTTTGCACCCATTTTTCCTACATGGTTATTT